TAGTCGAAGTCGCAAGGTTCGTCGAGACGGTATCGACGAGTGAACGCAGTGGACGAGGTTTCGAGGTTACGCAGTGAGGAACGAAGTGACGCAGTTGAGGACGTAGACGCAGGGCGAACTCGACTTATGAGCTCTGAACTCGAGGGGGGGGACCGGATTTTGTATTTTTAGAGAGAAGTACGACCGATTTTATACTACACAGGACGCTACGACTATTCGAGAGTGGCATACGGGTACAAGGGGCTTTGCATTGTTCCTCAAGAACCTGCCTCACCGAGAGGCACATACCAAGTCCATCAGTAGAGTGACGTCATGCCGAACGCGGAGATGAAGAGCAACATATGGCCACTTCGGACCGGTAGCCGTTGTGAAGGCATGCCGCGAGGTTTGATACCTAATCGAGAAAGACCGGCTACTTCGGTGTGGCTTGGAGCGAAGCGCGCGCTTGGCCGAGCGGCGTCAAGTGGCCCTATTGTTCGCCGAATGCGGAAGACATTCCGAGATCTACGCACGAGGCATCGGAAAGACCGTGCCGAGCTTCGAGTAAGCGTCGCGCACCGTCGAAGGTGTCGAAGAGTGTCGAAGGCGAAATCGAAGTGTTGGGAGACTGAGTCGAAGTACCGGGCGGGATGCGAGTGCCGAAAAGAGGTGAATCGGGGCCCAGAGGGGCTTGGCGCCTATCATCGGATTTCGCTGAAGCAGCACTTATACTTGCCGAGGGTGATGTCGTGACGGGGGCGCTTGTCGCGGCCTGGGTGGATCCCGAGGCAACCGTAGCCCGCACGTCAGCGCGTTTTGTGTAAGGCTTGTCCTTACAATTGGGGCACTCGAAGCGTCGGTACCCTTGCTTCCCACAGCCGAAGCATGTGCCGGGGAAGTTTCCTTTTCCGACGGCCGCATTAATGCTGGCCGAAGCTCCATGTGACGGGGGTGCACCACCACGTGCCCCTCCGCGTCCTCGACCTCATGACGAGAAGAAGCTGTTCAGCTCGGGCCGACGAGCCCGGCTGACGTCGAGGATTTGCTCGACCTCGGTGGCGCGCTTGTCAGCAGCTTGCCACGTGGCGAAGGTTTCGAGCTTGAGTTTGCAATAGACGCGGGAAGGGATGCCGCTCAGGTACTTGTCGCGTAGTTCCAGGTTCCCATACCCGGAACGGTCCGCCGGACCCTTGAACAGCGCAGAGAATTCTGCGGCGGTGCGCTTCTCGCGCATGGTTTTGTCGGAGCAGAGCTTGGTAAGCTCCACCTGTGCTGCGGCAGCGTCGTCGAGATTCCAAAAATGGGCCTTAAATGCTTCAAGGAAGGCCTTTTCGTCGGCAAAGGGGGTTGTCGCTCCCTGGATCCCGATTTGGACGGAGGCAAGCTGGGAGAAGATGGGGGTGGCCCAAGCTCGCGCGTCACCATCGAGGAGACTGAGAGCAACCTGGATCTTCAGCTCGAGGGAAGAGAGGGCCGTGTTGATCGTCCAGTAGATGAGCAACTGCGAGATGAAGCGGTTGCATTCGATCACCGACTTCCCATCGTATCGGAGCGGGAGGAGGAGCTTTAACGTCTCCTTATCAGGTATGGCAGCGGGAGAGGACATTATCGGCGACGAGGGGGACGAAGGACTGCCTGCGGACGAAGGCGACTGTTGTGACTGTCCGCCGGGCGGACTTCTCGAGGAACGAGTGCTGTAGCGGCCTCGCAGCGGCGATGGCGGTGAAGTCGGTTGAGGAAGCCCGGAGGCGGGGTGACGTAGGACAGGGACTGAAGTCGAGGCGGTGACCGCTGACAATGAGCTGGCCCAAGAATGCGGCAGAGTGTCGCGGGGCTCGGTCTTGGGAGGCCTTTCCAACCGCGGCCCCAGGGAGGACTGGGGGATTGCTTGAGGGGTCGCTGTAGGCTGTGCGACTGCCTCAGTTCCTCGAGGGAGATGGGGATCTTCTCGCGCTTGACCTGTACTGGCAACAGGTTGGGGGATGCGGGTGCCTGGCGAGGCAGGTCGGGATGGGACGGGAGTGACGTGGCGAGATGTAGATCTCGAGGTGCCAGCGTACCGGAGTGCAGGGCCGCTGGGGTGTTGGACTCGTCGGATTGGCACGAAGTGTCCTTCGTCAACAGTGATGGACCGTGGAGTGCGATTAGGGCACGGTTGCCAATCACAGATGAAGAAAGGAGCTCTGTCTCCGTTGCTTTTCGGGTCGTTATGAGAGACGTCGACCTGCTCCTGGGTGTCGAAGGCGTGCTCAAGTCGAGAGCAGTCGAAGAATTTGTCAGCCACGTTGATGGGGGGAGGAAGGGGAGGTGCGCGTGCTACGAAAGGCCGTGCTAGCTAGCTTACACCTACGGCGCCCGAGGTAACACTAGGGTTCGCAATTCATGTGGGGCCCAGTACTGCTTTTGGCTAGTATGCAGCAGGAACCTAAGCCACGCATCCGTGAGGACAAGTACCGCCCACTGAAGTGCAGGTACTGAAGAGTTCGTCCCCTAAGTGGTGGCAATGTATAGTACGCTATCTAGGTATTGTAGGGTACAGTAAGGGTGCGCACCACCCAACCTATAGGAAGTGAATGTGAGTAGTGGGAGTCCCGAGGGAACGCCGGCAGCTATGGGGAGTTTCGACCTAATGTCGTGACTTGGGGTCGAGCGACAGGAGAAAACCTAAAAGCTGGGGGTGTTCGACTGGTTCTTACCGAAGCGATGGTGAGCAGTGCTCAAACCTAAGGCTAGGGACAAGAATGTATTAGTTAGTAAGTAAAAGAAGTAAGTACAGGAGAGCTTACTGACCTAGGGACAAGAGGTCGAAACTGAGGTCCCTAGGGCAGCAGAGGCTGGTTTATATACATGGGAAGATTTAGGGCAGGCTGTGCGCGTTGGTCTGTGCACAGCTGGTCTGTGCGCAGCATGCCGACGCGGCCCCGGGGCCGGTGAGTCAGAGCAGCTGTGTCAGCGGGGCCCGAGCTGTGCCGTGCGCTGCCGCCCCATCTAATCTAATCGTACAGTAGATAGTGACGTGTCCATATCAGGCAGGTAGTACAGAGGTCGCGGGTTCGAGCCCGCGAAAAGGAAAAATTAAAAAACAGCTAGGCGCCATACCAACTCGTGACACCGAGGACGGCTCAAATTTCAATAGGGAGGAGAATAGCTACGAGCTAGTGCCTCGATCAGAGCAAGCACAACTTGCAGATGCAAAGCTCGACGACGTGCTCGAATTTCATCGTACGTTAGCGAAGCCCCACGGCATCTCCGAAGGCGTCTACGAAGGGTTCATCAAGTACTGCATGCAATTCTTCCTCGACAATGACACCCTCTGGCGCAAGGACAGTCACGGAGCACACAAGTTAGTCGTCAAGCCCGGCGATCGCCTTCGAATACTTCGAGAATGCCACGACCGCACCGCGCATCGAGGAATCTATGCAACCCAAGCCTTCGTCAATGAGCGATTCTGGTGGCCGTTCCACTACGCCGACATCGCCTGGTTCGTTCGATCGTGCCATATCTGCCAGTCTCGACAAGTGCGTCAAATACTCATTCCTCCGACCGTCACAGGACCAGCACCGATCTTCGCGAAAATTCACATCGACACAATGCACATGCCAGCTTCGGGCGGATACAAGTACTTGGTCCAAGGTAGATGCTCGCTCACGACTTACCCCGAGTTTTGAATGCTTCGAAAAGAGACGGCGAAGGCCCTCGCCGACTGGATCTTCGAAGACATCCTCTGTCGATGGGGCGCGCTTAGTGAGATTGTCACCGACAACGGTACGGCGTTCATCAAGGCGGCCGATTACCTTTCGAAGAAGTACCACATCAACCATATTCGAATCAGTGGGTACAATTCGAGGGCGAACGGTCTCGTCGAACGTCCGCACTTCAGCACGCGACAAGCCTTGTTTAAGACAGCCGACGGAGATGAGAAGAAATGGTCCCAAGCGGCGTACTTTGTATTTTGGTCCGAGCGCATCACGACTCGACGACGCATGGGCTGCTCACCCTATTTCGCTGTTACGGGCACCCATCCGCTCATTCCTCTCGACATCGTCGAAGCCACGTATCTGCAACCACCACCGACTTTGGTCCTTTCGACGACCGATCTCATCACCCGTAGGGCCATTGTGCTCCAGAAACGCGTCGAGCAAGTCACCGAACTCCACTCAAAGGTCTACGAAGCATGTCGAACTGCAGCAATTCGCTTCGAGAAAGAGCACGAGCACTCGATCCAGGATTTCGACTTCAAGCGCGGAGCCCTAGTGCTCATACGCAACACGAAGATCGAGAAGTCCCTCAACCGCAAGATGCGCCCACAATATCTAGGCCCCCTCATCGTTGTCTCGCGCAACAAGGGCGGCGCGTACATCGTGTGCGAACTCGACGGTACAGTCCTCGATCGACCCATTGCAGCATTCCGCGTCATTCCGTACTTCGCGCGCAAATCCATACCAATTCCCGAAGATCTCGAAGATGTCTCGACCGAGCGTCTTCGAGAACTCGAACTATCGAATTCTCTAGGCGACGACAATGATGATGAAGTCGAAGAAGCCGAAGAACGCGACGAATAGAGGTTCTTCCCTTACTTGTACAACACGATACGTACTTTCTTCTCTCCATTCCTGCTCTCACGTTACGTGATATGTTTGATTTTCTCCTACGTTCCAGACCATCCCTTGTACGAATACCTTCGATTCAACTCGATAGTCGCGACATCATTCGACGTTCTACGAACGCTTCGATTTGACTGTTGCGCGGAGGCTCACCTTAGATGAGTCCTCCTAGGCTGTGATGACAAACTGAGTCTATAGTTTCATTAAGTCCATTTTCCCTCACTACGAACATTTCGATTTCACCTTCTATGCCCTTCGATCATATTACGACTTGCTTCGAACACACTTATTTGCATTTCCTTTTCTTAGTTCCCACTAGGTTTTGTCTAGGCCAAGGGCCACATTTTTGATTCGACTATGGACACAATATTCTACGACATAAGGACAACTACGATACAAGACGACCCGCACCATCGCCTACTCATCGTCTACAGCCCCGCGCACGAAACCGATCCCTCCCTTCGCAAGCGCGGCCTTCTCCATCTTCTGGAGGTCGACGTCCATGTCATGGAGGAGCGCTCGACGGCGCGCGATGTGAGCGCGCTCCTCGCGGATGACGCGAATTATCCCCCGAGATTCGTCGTCGAGGTCGAGCGCGTCGAGGTCGTCCTGTTCGAGGCCCAGGCGGCTGGCCCCATCGAGAGGCCGTCGTAGAAGGGGTCGTGGAGGCTCGTCGACTCGCCGAGAACGCTACGACCTGTGAGAGGTGCGCGCAGTCCCAGCAGGGATGCTACTTCGACAAAGTGTCTGTGCTTGGGAAGACCAAGAAAACGCGCAGCGGGGGATCTACCACCAAGAAGCGCAGTAAGTTGTTTCTTCTTGTCCTAAGCCTTCACTGACGACTTAGTAGTTTGGCCGACCTCTCCTGGGCCTTCGGTCGCGGACTCGAGTGGTTCGAAGAAGCGCCCCACACGCAATCGACCGGGGCCGAGCGGTAGCTGGCGCAACGGTCACACTGTTGAAGATTTAGCATCGAACCGCTTTGACGGAGGGTCGAACGTACCTTCTGTCCGGCCTCGCGCTTCTCCATCGCCACGGTGGCCATGTCGACCTCGGTCATTGCGAACGGACGTTCGACCGTCCGAGGAGTCTTCTACGAAAGAGTTTAGTCATCGAACAACGATAGAAGAAAACACTTATGATTGAAGGGTCGTCCGACAGTTCGGCGACCTCCTCGTCGACTCTAGCGCGCCCTTTCCCCTTATCAAGAAGCCCCTCGGCGGCCGCGATCCTCGCCAACTCCTCATCGGCGGCCTCTTGCGCGCGACGTTCATCTTCGAGGCGCCGTTCCTCTTCCTCCTTCCGACGCCGTTCGTCTTCGAGGCGACGGTCCTCGGCGGCCTTCGCACGCTTCACGGCCTCTTCGACGCGTTGTGCTTCCTCCTCGGCGAGGCGCTTCTGTTCTTCGAGGCGTCATTCGACCTCGGCGTCGATGGCGGTCGCAAGCTCGGGCCAGTCCCCGCGCGCCCACTCGACCCAGGACTCCGACGCCCGCTCGGCGAGTTGCTTGACGGCGGCGGCAACGCGCAGCTCCGTCTCCTCGTCGCGGATGGCACCCAAGGCCTTGCGATAGGCGAGCTGTTCGACAACAAAGGGTTAGTTGGGTTATGCAGATTTATGAGCGACTTACCACGAGCGGCGACAAGTCTTGTGCCCACTCTTCGACCACATCGAGCGCGGCGTCGGCAGTCGGTGGAGCCTCGAGGACCACGAGCAGCGAGGCGAGGCGGCGGTTGACGAGCGAAGGCGTCGACGCAGGGGTGGCGGAGCGAGCAGACATCGGGGAAGCAGCGAGTATACGAGAGAGGGCGACGAGGTAGCGACGAAGGAACAATGGGATGGGGAAAATGAGGCTAAGTCTACCCTGCTTATAACCCCTTTCCGACCAGCATTTAGCGCCGGCCATGTGGCGTTCGAAGTCTACCCGGGTTGCCAAGCCGCTTCGATCCGTTTACGACCATCGCGCTTCTCGCATCACGTGGAGGACCGAGGGCGGTCCAAATTTCAATAGGGAGGAGATGATAGGCGCCAAGCCCCTCTGGGCCCCGATTCACCTCTTTTCGGCACTCGCATCCCGCCCGGTACTTCGACTCAGTCTCCCAACACTTCGATTTCGCCTTCGACACTCTTCGACACCTTCGACGGTGCGCGACGCTTACTCGAAGCTCGGCACGGTCTTTCCGATGCCTCGTGCGTAGATCTCGGAATGTCTTCCGCATTCGGCGAACAATAGGGCCACTTGACGCCGCTCGGCCAAGCGCGCGCTTCGCTCCAAGCCACACCGAAGTAGCCGGTCTTTCTCGATTAGGTATCGAACCTCGCGGCATGCCTTCACAACGGCTACCGGTCCGAAGTGGCCATATGTTGCTCTTCATCTCCGCGTTCGGCATGACGTCACTCTACTGATGGACTTGGTATGTGCCTCTCGGTGAGGCAGGTTCTTGAGGAACAATGCAAAGCCCCTTGTACCCGTATGCCACTCTCGAATAGTCGTAGCATCCTGTGTAGTATAAAATCTGTCGTACTTCTCTCCAAAAAAACACAAGATCCGTTTTCCCTCTCGAGTTCAGAGCTCATAAGTCGAGTTCGCCCCGCGTCTAAGCTTTCAACTGCGTCACTTTGTCCCTCACTGCGTAACCTCGAAACCTCGTCCACTGCGTTCACTCGTCGATACCGTCTCGACGAACCTTTTGACTTCGACTATTGTCAAAGAACTGCGTTGCACCTCGAACCGCGTCCTAGTTAAGTCCCCACCTATTGAATCGTGTCCCTTCTCTCTACGATACGTTGAAGAGCTCTGCCGAGCTTCGATCATCGCTAACTTTCCACAGCCTCCGAGTAGCTTCGACGATGTGTCGAAGCCACCTCGTACCTTCCCTAGCGTTTGTAGCCTTTTCCGAAGGCGTTTCTCGTGTTCACTCGAACCGCGGGACACCTTGCTGCTAACTCCCCTCTCATTAGACTATAATCTGTCTCTCTAGTCCCTTTAGGTCGCACCCAGGTTAGGGGTTAGGGTTTCGTAGGTCGTATCAACGGACGCGTCGTTATCTACTGTATGATTAGATTAGATGGGGCGGCAGTGCGCAGCACAGCTCGGGCCCCGCTGACACAGCCTCTCTGACTCACCGGCCCCCGGGGCTGCGTCAGCATGCTGTGCACGGACCAGCTGCCCATGGACCAGTGTGCACAGCCTCCCCTAAACATCCCCTGTATATAAGCCGGCCTCTGCTGCCCTAGGGACCTCAGTTTCGACCTCTTGTCCCTAGGTCAGTAAGCCCTCACTTGTATTTCTGTCACGAGTTGGTACGGCGCCTAGCCGTTTTTTAATTTTTTCCTTTTCGCGGGCTCGAACCCGCGACCTCTGTACTACATGCCCGATATGGACGCATCACTATCTACTGTACGATTAGATTAGATGGGGCGGCAGCGCACGGCACAGCTCGGGCCCCGCTGACACAGCCGTTCTGACTCACCGGTCCCCGGGGCCGCGTCGGCATGCTGCGCACAGACCAGCTGCGCACGGACCAACGTGCACAGCCTGCCCTAATCTCCCCATGTATATAAGCCGGCCTCTGCTGCCCTAGGGACCTCAGTTTCGACCTCTTGTCCCTAGGTCAGTAAGCTCTCCTTTGTATTCCTTTCTTACTTAACTAACTAATATACTATCTTGTCCCTAGCCTTAGGTTTGAGCGCTGCTCACCATCGCTTCGGTGAGATTTAGTCGGACGCCCCCAGCTTTCCGATCTTCCCCTGTCGCTTGACCTCAAGTCGCGACAATTTCCTTCCTTACTTAACTAACTAATATATTACTTGTCCCTAGCCTTAGGTTTGAGCCTAGCTCACCATCGCTTCGGTAAGATAAGTCGAACGCCCCCAGCATTTGGTTTTCCCCTGTCGCTCGACCCTAAGTCGCCACACAGGGAGTGTTCGGAAAAGGATCAGGAGGTGGCCGAGGCGCTTCAGAAGGTGCAGGATCTCAGACCACCCCGGTTACAATGGGGCTTTGAGGAGTGGAATGCTGAGCAAGGGCTTCTGTTGTTCCTTGGGTGCGTGTACGTCCCAAAGAATGCGGAGCTCTGGCGGGATATCGTCAAGATCCACCATGACTCGCCGATCGCCGGTCATGGTGGTCTTGCCAAAACCCTGGAGCTCGTGTTGTGGAATTACTGGTGGCCTGGGATGTCCAAATTTGTCAATGAGTACGTCAGCACCTGTGACATGTGCAACCGTACCAAGACATTCCCCGCCAAACCCCAGGGTCCGCTGAAGCCGAATGAGATCCCCGAGCGCCCATGGCAGATCATCACGACCAATATGATTGTCGGCTTGCCGAAGTCTGATGGATTCGACTCGATCCTGGTCACCGCCGACTGCTTCACAAAGCAGGTCCACTTCTCGGCCTGTCATGAGACCTTGACGGCAGAAGGTGCAGCAGATCTGTACATCCGCGATGTGTTCAAGCATCATGAGGCCCCGGCCAAGGTCATATCAGACCAAGGTCCCCAGTTCGCTTCAAAATATCTCCATGCAGTGTACAAAGGACTAGGGATCGAACCGGCGCTGTCTACAGTGTTCCACCCTCAGACAAATGGCCAGACTGAGCGCTGGAATCAGGAGATCGAGCAGTACCTGCATGCTTTCACAAGCCACAGGCAGGATGATTGGGCGAAGCAATTGCCGCTCGCAGAGTTTGCACTGAACAACCAAGTTCACTCCATAACCGGGCACTCCCCATTCTTCCTGCATCAAGGGTACCATCCTGAGATCCAAGTGCGGATCAATCCGATGTCCGCGATGCCTGCTGCCGCAGATCAGCTTAAGATCCTGAAGGAGATTCGCGACGACACGCGCTCTGCGCTCGAGCTATCAGCCGAGCGCATGAAAGTGTATTACGATAAGCACATGCAGGAGGCACCGGTCTTCGCGCCGGGGGACAAGGTCTGGCTTGACGCTCGGAACCTTAAGCTGAAACAGCCGAGCAAGAAGCTCAGTCCCAAGTGCCTTGGGCCTTATGCCATGCGGCGAAAGCTCGGAGACCTGGATTACGAATTAATCCTGCCGAAGTCGGTGCCAGTACACCCGGTGTTCCATGTCTCCTTGCTTAGCAAGTACACGCGTAGCGATATCCCGGGCCGGGAGCCAGAGGAACCGCCTGCGATCGAGGTTGAGGGCGACGAGGAGTACAAGGTTGAGCAGATCAAGGATTTGCGGATCTTCCGGCGTCAGCTGCAGTACCTCGTCAAGTGGAAGGGTTATGACGATTCACACACGTCATGGGAACCGGCGCGCAATGTTGCCAATGCGCCGGCCCTCATAGCCGACTTCCACCGGAAGAACCCGAACGCCCCTCGTCGACTCAATGCTGCTACATTTGGTGGTCTCAACTTTCAGCCAATGCCTTCGCCACTGACTGAAGCACGCTGCCGCTCCGGGTGGGAGATGGGCAAGGGCGCCTCGCATGAGGTCATGCGTGTCGCGACTTGAGGTCAAGCGACTGGGGAAAACCTAAGGGCTGGGGGCGTCCGACTAAGTCTTACCGAAGTGATGGTGAGCTACGCTCAAACCTAAGGCTAGGGACAAGTAAGTTAGTATTGAATAAGTAAGTAAGTACAGGAGCTTACTGACCTAGGGACAAGAGGTCGAAACTGAGGTCCCTAGGGTAGCAGAGGCCGGCTTATATACATGGGGAGATTAGGGCAGGCTGTGCACGTTGGTCCGTGCGCAGCTGGTCTGTGCGCAGCATGCCGACGCGGCCCCGGGGGCCGGTGAGTCAGAGCGGCTGTGTCAGCGGAGCCCGAGCTGTGCCGTGCACTGCCGTCCTATCTAATCTGATCGTACAGTAGATAGTGACGCGTCCATATCAGGCAGGTAGTACAGAGGTCGCGGGTTCGAGCCCACGAAAAGGAAAAAATTTAAAAAACGGCTAGGCGCCGTATCAACTCGTGACATAGCTCGAGCGCAGCGCGCGTGTCATCACGAATCTCCTTCAGGATCTTAAGCCGATCAGCGGCCGCAGGCATCACAGACATCGGATTGATCCGCACTTGAATCTCAGGATGGTACCCCTGATGCAGGAAGAAAGGGGAGTGCCCGGTCGCGGAGTGAGCTTGATTGTTCAATGCGAATTCCGCGAGTGGCAACTGCTTTGCCCAATTGTCCTGCCTGTGGCTTGTGAAAGCACGCAGGTACTGTTCGATCTCCTGATTCCAGCGCTCAGTCTGGCCGTCTGTCTGAGGGTGGAACGCTGTGGACAGCGCCGGCTCGATTCCCAGACCCTTGTACACCGCGTGGAGATATTTCGAAGCGAACTGGGGACCTCGGTCTGATATGACCTTGGCCGGGGCCCCATGATGCTTGAACACATCGCGGATGTACAGGTCTGCCGCACCTTCTGCCGTCAGGGTCTCATGACAGGCCGAGAAGTGGACCTGCTTGGTAAAGCGGTCGGCGGTAACCAGAATCGAGTCGAATCCATCAGACTTCGGCAAGCCAACGATCATATCCGTGGTGATGATCTGCCACGGGCGCTCGGGGATCTCGTTCGGCTTCAGCGGACCCTGAGGCTTGGCTGGGAATGTCTTGGTACGGTTGCACACGTCACAGGTGCTTACGTACTCATTGACAAACTTGGACATTCCCGGCCACCAGTAATTCCGTGATACGAGCTCAAGGGTCTTGGCACGACCACCATGACCAGCGATCGGCGAGTCGTGGTGGATCTTGACTATATCCCGCTGGAGCTCTGCGTTCTTTGGGACGTACACACACCCGCGGAACAGC